AACTTGATGCCTGTGTGATAGGATACTGGAGAACCTGTACAGGTGGCTGACAACTTGATGCCTGTGTATCATGGATACTGTAGAACTTGTACAGGTGTCTGGCAACTTGATGCCTGTGTGATAGGATACTGGAGAACCTGTACAGGTGGCTGACAACTTGATGCCTGTGTATCATGGATACTGTAGAACTTGTACAGGTGGCTGGCAACTATATGCCTGTGTGATAGGATACTGTAGAACCTGTACAGGTGGCTGACAACTTGATGCCTGTGTATCATGGCTACTGTAGAACTTGTACAGGTGGCTGGCAACTTGATGCCTGTGTATCATGGATACTGTAGAACCTGTACAGGTGGCTGGCAACCTGATGCCTGTGTATCATGGATACTGTAGAACTTGTACAGGTGGCTGGCAACTTGATGCCTGTGTATCATTGAAACTGTAGAACCTATACAGGTGGCTGAACCCTTGATGCCTGTGTATCATGGATACTGTAGAACCTGTAGAGGTGGCAGGCAACTTGATGCCTGTGTATCATGGATACTGTAGAACTTGTACAGGTGGCTGGCAACTTGATGCCTGTGTATCATGGATACTGTAGAACTCGTACAGGTGGCTGGCAACTTGATGCCTGTGTATCATGGATACTGTAGAACCTGGTACAGGTGGCTGGCAACTTGATGCCTGTGCATCATGGATACTGAAGAAACTGGTACAGGTGTCTGGCAACTTGATGCCTGTGTGATAGGATACTGTAGAACCTGTACAGGTGGCTGACAACTTGATGCCTGTGCATCATGGATACTGTAGAACTTGTACAGGTGGCTGTCAACTTGATGCCTGTGTGATAGGATACTGTAGAACCTGTACAGGTGGCTGACAACTTGATGCCTGTGTATCATAGATACTGTAGCCCTTGTACAGGTGGCTGGCAACTTGATGCCTGTGTGATAGGATACTGGAGAACTTGTACAGGTGGCTGACATCTTGATGCCTGTGTATCATGGATACTGTAGAACTTGTACAGGTGGCTGGAAAACTGATGCCTGTGTATCATGAATACTGTAGAACATGTGCAGGTGGCTGGCAACTTGATGCCTGTGTATCATGGTTACTGTAGAACTTGTACAGGTGGCTGGCAACTTGATGCCTGTGTGATAGGATACTGTAGAACCTGTACAGGTGGCTGACAACTTGATGCCTGTGTATCATGGATACTGTGGAACTTGTACAGGTAGCTGGCAACTTGATGCCTGTGTATCATGGATACTGTAGAACATGTGCAGGTGCCTGGCAACTTGATGCCTGTGTATCATGGATACTGTAGAACCTGTACAGGTGGCTGGCAACTTGATGCCTGTGTGATAGGTTACTGTAGAACCTGTACAGGTGGCTGACAACTTGATGCCTGTGTATCATGGATACTGTAGAACTTGTACAGGTGGCTGGCAACTATATGCCTGTGTGATAGGATACTGTAGAACCTATACAGGTGGCTGACAACTTGATGCCTGTGTATCATGGCTACTGTAGAACTTGTACAGGTGGCTGGCAACTTGATGCCTGTGTATCATGGATACTGTAGAACCTGTACAGGTGGCTGGCAACCTGATGCCTGTGTATCATTGAAACTGTAGAACCTATACAGGTGGCTGAACCCTTGATGCCTGTGTATCATGGATACTGTCGAACCTGTAGAGGTGGCAGGCAACTTGATGCCTGTGTATCATGGATACTGTAGAACTTGTACAGGTGGCTGGCAACTTGATGCCTGTGTATCATGAATACTGTAGAACCTATACAGGTGGCTGAACCCTTGATTCCTGTGTATCATGGATACTGTAGAGCTTGTACAGGTGCCTGGCAACTTGATGCCTGTGTATCATGGATACTGTAGAACTTGTACAGGTGGCTGACAACTTGATGCCTGTGAATTATGGATACTGTAGAACTTGTACAGGTGGCTGGCAACTTGATGCCTGTGTATCATGGATACTGTAGAACTTGTACAGGTGGCTGGCAACTTGATTCCTGTGTAATAGGATACTGTAGAACCTGTACAGGTGGCTGACAACTTGATGCCTGTGTATCATGGATACTGTAGAACCTGTACAGGTGGCTGGCAACTTCATGCCTGTGTATCATGGATACTGTAGAACCTGTACAGGTGGCTGGCAACTTGATGCCTGTGTATCATGGATACTGTAGCACTTGTACAGGTGGCTGGCAACTTGATGCCTGTGTATCATGGAAACTATAGAACTTGTACAGGTGGCTGACAACTTGATGCCTGTGTATCATGGGTACTGTAGAACTTGTACAGGTGGCTGGCAACGTCATGCCTGTGTATCATGGATACTGTAGAACTTGTACAGGTGGCTGACAACCTAGATGCCTGTGTATCATGGATACTGTAGCACTTGTACAGGTGGCTGACAACCTAGTTGCCTGTGTGATAGGATACTGTAGAACCTGTACAGGTGGCTGACAACTTGATGCCTGTGTATCATGGATACTGTAGAACCTGTACAGGTGGCTGGCAACCTGATGCCTGTGTGTCATGGATACTGAAGAACCTGGTACAGGTGGCTGGCAACTTGATGCCCATGTATCATGGATACTGTAGAACTTGTACAGGTGGCTGGCAACTTGATGCCTGTGTATCATGGATACTGTAGAACTTGTACAGGTGGCTGGCAACTTGATGCCCGTGTGATAGGATACTGTAGAACTTGTACAGGTGGCTGACAACTTGATGCCTGTGTATCATGGATACTGTAGAACTTGTACAGGTGGCTGGCAACTTGATGCCTGTGTATCAAGGATACTGTAGAACCTGTACAGGTGGCTGACAACTTGATGCCTGTGTATCATGGATACTGTAGAACTTGTACAGGTGGCTGGCAACTTGATGCCTGTGTATCATGGGTACTGTAGAACTTGTACAGGTGGCTGGCAACTTCATGCCTGTGTATCATGGATACTGTAGAACTTGTACAGGTGGCTGACAACCTAGATGCCTGTGTATCATGGATACTGTAGCACTTGTACAGGTGGCTGACAACCTAGATGCCTGTGTGATAGGATACTGTAGAACCTGTACAGGTGGCTGACAACTTGATGCCTGTGTATCATGGATACTGTAGAACTCGTACAGGTGGCTGGCAACCTGATGCCTGTGTATCATGGATACTGAAGAACCTGGTACAGGTGGCTGGTAACTTGATGCCCATGTATCATGGATACTGCAGAACTTGTACAGGTGGCTGGCAACTTGATGCCTGTGTATCATGGATACTGTAGAACTTGTACAGGTGGCTGGCAACTTGATGCCCGTGTGATAGGATACTGTAGAACTTGTACAGGTGGCTGACAACTTGATGCCTGTGTATCATGGATACTGTAGAACTTGTACAGGTGGCTGGCAACTTGATGCCTGTGTATCATGGATACTGTAGAACTTGTACAGGTGGCTGACAACTTGATGCCTGTGTATCATGGATACTGTAGAACTTGTACAGGTGGCTGGCAACTTGATGTCTGTGTATCATGGGTACTGTAGAACATGTGTAGATGACTGGCAACTTGATGCGTGTGTTTCATGGATGCCTATTTTCGCGTCAAGGCGGAAGTTAATATGTCTGGAGGGATACTTCTTTCTTAATCATTGACGAAAGGCATTTATAAATATTGATATGCACAACTTAAGGATACACAACGCAGACCTACGGTGATTCCAATATTGAAAGTGTGTATGGCAATACATTTTGGGCAGAAAATTCAATATATATCAAGTGCAATTCAAAGTTTACAACATCTTAACATTAGGGTGTTTCTATCTCCGAATTTGATATCATATTTCTGCGTCTTAATAGCAGTGTTGCGTCATAATAGTGATTTGTGATTTAGAACAAAACCTTGCAGGACTTCATTTTCCTTAGAGGTAACTTCTTCATTTTTTTTTTCAAAAAGTAGGAAGTACTACACACTTGCAATGTCTTTCGTATACAGGAGTATACTGATGTTAAGACACCATGGGAAAACATGGCGCCAAACGGTGTATAAAGTATGCGTTGATTCTGGTCATAACATAGCTTATCTTATAACTCACTATTTGGTTAAATGATCAGAGCTACATTCTGTAATAATAAAACGGCAAATCATTTCAGCGCCTTGATGAAAAACATGAAAAGATTTGGAAATCCTGCAATCGAACGAATTCGACACCGCAGTTGCCATGTTGTTTATGAACCAGATGTCGATTTCGTTACAGGATTTTGTGTTACAGGACTTTGTATAGACTCGTTAGTCTTTCCAAACTACAACTCCATAATTCCAGCCTAATTTGGCAAGGGTGGAAATTTGCCTTTTAAAGTCAGTTAACTCCCTTACCACGGGAAGATGCATTAAATACACATATTTCTGGAGTTAATGAGTGACTGTTGTTTAACGCCAACAATATCCCCTGATATATCATGACAGCTACATTCAGTGTATATTAAGTCTATACTGTAGACTGAAGTATGATGGTTTCATAAGTATATGATAAGAATGTCCAGATCTATTCTCGATCTATAGTTTGATGTGATATATTTAGAATTTAATGTCCTACATTGGTTGAGTTACGTGGAAACCTTGATGTCTAAGATAACAGAAAACACAATAATCTCAATCAAAACAAGTTTTGCACACGGCTTCAGTGAAACACTTACTCTCTTATTCGCAACGTGGCGAAAATACGCCCGCGGATGTTCTAGTGCATGTCTTTAGATTACTGATATTGGTCAATTGAAATGTATAGTACACTTAAATTAGCGGGAAATCAATAAAGGTTAATTTCACTTGATAATGATGTAGCCATTTGCAACATTGAAGACACTGTTTTTTACTGATACAGTATACAGTTCGCAAGAGAGAACAAAGCCAAATCATTTTATGGTACTTTTACTTGTAGACAGATGTTGAATCAGTCTTTTCTGAGCAGGTATCCAGAAAACTGCGACTACGCCCCTTGTCTTAATGGAGATTTACCGTTGTCCAAGGTCTTCTTGACGAACACGTGGTCAGCTTTGTTGACGTGAATGATAACGCTCATTGAAGTACTGGCGTAAGGCATTGGAATGGTGAGCCATGCTTTCGCATAGCCCTGGGAAAACAGCCCGAAATCAGATGTACCTTGACGTGGACCTCTTTCTGTTTGTAAAAGTGTCTGGAACTGATAGTAACCTGAAAATGGAAAGAGCATTGTACATATTCCTCATGTCTTAATTTCATTTAAGATGCATATATGTTTCCTTTCTTTTGTTTAAGGGGCGGTCGGGTAGCCTAGTGGTTAAAGCGTTCGCTCGTCACGCCGAAGACCCGGGTTCGATTCCCGACATGGGTACAATGTGTGAAGCCCATTTCTGGTGTCCCCCGCCGTGACATTGCTGGAATATTGCTATAAGCGGCGTAAAACCAAACTCAAACACTCTTTTGTTTAAGCTGTCTGTACGTCACAAGATGATAAGCTGTAAGGAAAGGTAGGGTTGATGTGATAGTGTCAGGGTACAAAGCTGAAACAGTTTTATCAGAAAGGTCATATCCACAACAATACAACTTACACCTATTTTTGTATGTCTAGCAAAGGACTCGAGGAAAGCTAGATGTTGGATTAATTAAAGGGCCACATGCAACTTCCCACTACAAATAATGTCATGCAATTGTGCTTTGAAAGTATCCGACAATATTCGAATAAATATTCACCAAGGTAAATAATAGGATATTGAGTAGAGTGGAACTCATAGTTCCAGCAATTTATTGAACCAGGAATGACCAGACTTAACTTCAAGCATCGTATTAAAGTATTACTGGATTTCTGATGGGAAAATTATGAGCATCAATACTGGCTATTTAAAAAATCCCACTCTTACCTGAGACAGGGGCATGGAATACCCCAGATGTAGGGTTATACCCATGACCAATGTTTGCCTCAACGCTGCTGAATGGGATGATGCTGCCAACTCCAAAGTAGTAATAACCGGCGTTCAAACTTTTTGGCAGAGATGCTTTAAAGTATACCAACGGAGCTGAAACGATATCAAAATATGCATTTACGAGTGAGTTGTCAGTGAGTAAGTATGGTTTGACAAATATTTTGTCAATATCACCACAGGGCTACTAACAATCGTCTTAAGGCTTCATACATCTAATGGTTTCTAAGGTGATTTCGAAAACATTAAAGCATACAAGAAACGAAGTACGGATATGGTTTCCTTTTAGGCTCCCCTTAATTAAAGACCACTTTTAAAATATGAAAACGAATATGTCCAGATCTGTTGTTCGATGTCGTTTTGTTGCAACCTCAAACTAATGCTTTGACGTCGTGATCCAACCGTTGCACCTCTATAGTATCTACACAGTTTTGCACGGATTGCTATTTGGATTTGGTGGCGCCGTGTTTTTGTCTTTGGTTTTGATTATTTATTCATATAACTTTATATTTTGTGATTTGGATTAGTTGGTTGTTGAATGATGGGAAAGAAAGTGTGGTTGATTTAAGTTTATGGGCCACCGTGTGAAAAGTTTTTATGCTTGCGCTGGGTGTTGTTTGCTTCTGGATGTATGCAAGGAGAAGTTTGAGGTTGTTTTGGGTTTTTGGGTTTGCAAGTTTTGGTGTTTTGCGCGTAAATGTTTTGTTGGTTTTGAAGGATGCGGGTAGAATGTCGGATATTTCTTATAGTGTTATGTTTGATGTAACATGCTATACGGTGGTTGTTGACTTCGGGGCTGCAGTGGGTTTTGTGGCCCGTAAGTGTTCGTGGGGTGCCTTGCAGGCCCTTGTGGGTTTTTTTTGTATGATGGTGTTGATGTTGTGCTTGAGAACCCTGTGACCAGATATCTCCTGGGTTTGGTGGTTTGGTTGCGGTGAAGATGGGTGTTTTGTGGGGGTGTAGTTGATATATGGAGGTTGTGGTTTGGGCCTGTGTTGTGATTTGTTGTTTGGGTTTTGCATGTAGGATGTTGTTTGTTTGGGGTTTGGTGTGTGGTGGTTTGGTTGACTAGGGTAAAGTAATGACGCGCTGACAACCTGTTACTATGCGGGCGGCTTCTATTTGAATCATTTCAAGTTTTTCGGAATACCTCTGAAGCATATTCTAATATAGGCCTCATGAAAACGAGATATATTTTGGACAGGGTTGGTCTGTCCAGTAAATACATAACGGTAAAGACGAACAAATCATTTTGGAAGCTGAGTGACAAATGGTATCAACGTAGGTTGTCCGTATCATAATATGAGAGAGAGTAACGCACAGATGTTGATGACGCAAGATAGATGCGCTAACAGCGATATTGTTATAAATTATATGTGCAGAGCGATTTTTATAATGAGTGAATAATATAAGTGCAATGAGTGCATTTACTGATTTTGTTGGAACAAATGAAAACATGTCAATTTTGAATAACCTTCGCTAGGTGCAAATTGAGATATTCTGCTACTTATAAGTAAAGAAAAACGTTTAATTAATATATTCGTTTTCAAAAACCGTCGAACACATTATCTGCTTCACATCATCACTTCATCCGGTTATGTACTGTCGGTTTGAAAGTCCCTTACAACTTTGAATCAGAATTTCGGCAGAATTTGATTACTTGTTTTACAGATTTTTTCAGATTAACTTAAAACGCAAAGTGGTATACAATTCTTGTTGGAGAATGAAAGCTGCCATTTGTTTACATTAAGCTTTTTTGCTTACCGTTTCCGGCAACCTCCTTTCCCGTAAATGAACAGACTGCCACGCAGAGAAATAACATCAGGTGGAGTTCCATGTCTGGCTGCTGTCAGGGATAGTGAATTGCATCGAATGAAGCGTTTACAGTTTACAGCTTACAATATAACAGTTTCAAGCTGTCAAAAGCTTTCATAAAGTATGCAAACCCCACCCACATTAAATCTCTGCTCACTCATGACAGATGTTCCAGGTGGGTTTCCAGAGCTTTCAATACGTCATACGGTTTTGAACTACGTGCAGTCTGACACTTCTACTATCGTGTTCAATGTATTCCACGAAAATGTATATTTGACTTCAAATTGAAAATTTGTATTGTTAAGGATTGAGTGTGTACTTTTTGTGGTTCATTAAGGTGTGAAAAACCGTTGTGCATAGCGGATTCTTACAAAAGTTTGACCATCGGTTATGATTCATACCTCTATGAACCGGAAAAAAAACATCCTTGTAATTAAATTCGACAAGAAAATGTGTTATCTCCTTAAGTTTTATAAAAAAAATTATGTATATGTCAAATCAGATTTATGTTTCTAGGTTTGTCAGCACCATATCCGTGCTCGTGTGTTTCACCGAAGTGGTAAACGTCTGAGACCTGCATCACTTCGGGCTTCCCTCCCACATTAAGTCGACACGCAGCAATATAACTGGAATACTGTTGAAAGCGGCGTTAAACACAATTCACTCACTTACTCAATCACTCATATCAGACAACATTCCAGGCGTAGGATGACGTACTGTGGCGTGATACCACTCATGTGATTTTTTTCTTTATGCACATACATGACACGCCCAGAAAGTCAGTATCTAATCAACGGAGAGCAGCATCAAACAAAGTTCATAGTACCTGTCAATCAAGACAAGAGGCAAGAACAGCCCAGTATGACTGTTACTAGTAACCAGAATAAATATGCAAGGGATGAGGCGGCAGTTTCAAATGACATGTCACGAGCTAGGAGAGTATACATCCCAAGATAGATGTATCGGGTACCCATTCCCTGCTGGTGAGGCACATTGGAACAAATGTACTTGCCCAGGGTGACGCCACACTTTTTGACACTTTTGTTTCAGGTGTATGTATTCGTGTTGCTACCATCTGGTCATCTACCATAGGATGGGTGGATTCTTTGGAGTGCATAGGGTGAATGTAATGTATACTAGCGGTAGTGACCACACTGTAAAGACCTGTAAATACTGGTGGTCCTTACGCTGAGTAACAACCTGGCCACTTGGCTGGTTGGTTGGTTGGTTGTTCAACGCCACACTCAGCAATATTCCAACTATATGAAGGCGGTCTGTAAATAATCGAGTCTGGACCAGACAATCCAGTGATTAATATGAGCATCGTGTCACTTGCGGGATACGATGTCAGCACCTGACGTTTGCTAGCCTGGCGCTTTTGACACCCTGCCTATTCCGCCCCCTGGAAGCCCCCACAGGGGGAGAAGGATGTTCGTAAATCAATATGAATCTTCAACGTGTGAGTTCACGTTACACTGATAATAGATAACACATGGTATGAAGTGGAAGGTGAGTGTGCACCAATGGACATTTGATAAAATCGCCACTGGGTGCGACACAAATGCAAGGTGTTAAATCCATTAACTGGCAACAGTTGGCTCTATAGATAATAAACATGTAAATCACGATCATCCAAAGGCGTGAGACATTCATGAAAATGAATATCCAACGCATATACAGTTGTTACGGGGTGATTTCCAAAATTAAACGAAGACTTTAATTTAGAAATCCGTTCGCGCAGACCTAACTAGAAAACATCAGTAAATGAACACACAAGATCTGTAACTGTAAATGTAACTGCGCTCGCTGATGTTCAGAATATCATCACTTTTGATTGTTTTGAAAGAGGCTTTTCAATTGGTACATAGATTAACAGGTTAAAGAGATCTCCAATCGTCCTCTCGTCGCCTCTATACAGCGATCCTTATAGAAATTGTCCCATCCCGAACTTTATCGAACGATCAAGTTTGCTGTGGCCATATAAACATCAAGGTGCATATTACTCCAACAAGTGTAGCCCAAAACCATTCCGGAAAGCTCCACTCGCTGCTGTCGACACCGGTTTATAATTCGTCGATATCGTGAGCATGTGTTAATGAATTAGTGATGATACAAATTTCTGATTTGTTCAATACTTATGTATATTCTGTATCACTGGCACAAATGTGTGGTGGTTTCTTATAAAACTCAGGGCTGCCCCGACACGCAATCAATCATACGATCCACACGTCACCTCTGACGACAGCATAGCTTACTGTTGATTATGGAGTTTACACTTCATCTAAATATCTGTTATGGGATTTTTAGAGCATCTTTATCTAATTTTGAAGAAAAAATACATTTAATAGTGCCTTTTCCCAATATTTTACACACATACTTTAAGTTAGTACATATGTTAAAACATTTAACCAGATACCCATATTTAGTATAAAGATAAATAGTTTAGCTAAGGTTTTAAGTGACTCTGTTGATGGGTCGTTATTTGTTGACGATTTTAATATATCATGTCGAGGTAAAAATATGCACACGATAAAAAAGACAGTTGCAACGTTGTCTAAATAAAATCAATGTTTGGGCAGAGCAGAACGGATTCAAGTTTTCTAAATCTAAAACAAATTGTATACATTTCTGTCGAAAATATAAACCATATAAGGACCCAGAATTACATCTAGCTGGAACTCCAATTAAAGTCGTAAAAGAAACTAAATTTTTAGAAATATTTTTTTACCTTACGTTTTTACCACATATTAAACATTTGAAAGCTAAATGTCTGAAGGCACTAGATTTATTGAAGGTAGTTTCTAATTCCAAATGGGGAGGAGATCAAACGACCCTCCTTCACTTATATAGATCACTTGTCCGTTCTAAGCTCGATTATGGCTCCATCATCTATGGTGGAGCCTGTAAAAGCAATCTTAAACTTTTAGATACAATCCATCATCAAGGTCTAAGACTCTGTCTTGGATCTTTCCGAACCTCCCCTATTGACAGTTTGTACATTGAGGCTGACGAGCCATCTCTTAAACAGCGCCGTATTAAACTTTCGTTACAGTATATCACAAAGTTATATTCTAATGAGTCAAACCCTGCATACAGCTGTGTATTTAATCCCCTTTAAGAGGACCTGTTTAGTAAAAAGTCATCTCTTATTCCGCCTCTCGGAATAAGAATTAAACCTTTTATTTCTGCTGCTGTCATTAACCTTGAAAATATATCTCCTTTCCGTCTGCTTTCCTCTCCTGCTTGGCAATTGGTAAAGCCACAGGTGGATCTTACATTATCTACACTAAAGAAATCTGACACGAACCAACTACAATATCAACAAGAGTATAATCAGTTAAGAAGCGAATATAACACTTACAAATCAAAATTTACAGATGGATCCAAGGATGGAGGTGCTGTTGCCAGCGGTTATACTTACTTGGGGTGTCAGTCCAGATTTGAAGAGGTCGTCTTAAGACGATGTTGTATTGGTCATTCTCGATATACTCATGACTATCTACTTAAAGGTGAGGATCCTCTATTCTGCATCCCTTGTGATGAAAGAATCACGGTCAAGCATGTCCTGCTTGACTGTATTGATTTTTCCATCACAGGGGAATCCAGGATCTTTTTAATCAGGTAAGTTCTCATTTTATTCTTGGTTTTTTAAAGGATATTGAATAGTTACATACATTTTGAGTATGTTTTGTCTATAAATAAATTGATTTTTTACAATTGGTAAAATAAATCAGTGACTGCGATTGTTAGTGGCTATATCCTCGAAGGGGGTTGAAGTAGTGTAAAATTATTGTCCCCCTGAGAGGGTATGTAAGACCACGTCTTTCAAAGTATATTTATTTATACCACGGTACTGTAAGTCCCCATGGACCCTAGCATGGTGATCTCTCTTCAGTGGCTGGCGATCTATAGCTCATTTTTATCGTGTATTGTTTCGTATGATGTTATATTTTTATGGCTAACTACTAGTTTTAGATATAATCTGTGATAACTCTAGTTATTTTACTGTCCTTCGTTGACAGGTTTTTATTTCGTATAAATATGTGTATTCTTAGTGTACTTCTCGTCACGATATGGCTGAAATACTGCCGATGTGACGTTAAATCTTAACTCACTCACACTCACTCCAATTACAACATGTTTACATTAATGCTTTAAGAATGAAATAGTTATTATGAGTTTCTCATTAATAAGTAAATAAAAGAAATTATTTACGGGATGCAAATTGTGTAGTCAGCGTTCGATTCATTGTACAGTGAGTCAGTTGGGTTAACGCCGCTTTTAACATTATTCCAGTTATATCACGGCGTGTCAGCTTAATGTGGGAGGAAAGCCCGAAGTGATGCAGGTCTTAGACGTTAACCACTTCGGTGAAACCCACGAGCACGGGTATGGTGCTGACAAACCGGGAATCGAACCCACAACCATAGGTTTCTGGCGTGTCCAGGGGACGCAACTCTGCACAGCGAATCACGTCGCCCTAGACGACTGGGCCACCCGTGCCCCCTCATTGTACAGTTATCAATATACCAATTCATTATATATTATTTGCTTCGTTCCGCATGTAGTTTCAGGTGTCTGATGGTCAAAATGTATACAGGAATTGGGATATTGAAATCAGTATAGGTGCTGTTTATGATTTGTATCCTAGCACCGTGTTTATACAGGGGCTACACTTATAAGTGTCCATCATACGAGAATGTACACCTGTGTGTTGACTCACTGCTGTAATAATTTCCTTCAATTCCCAGTTAAATTTCTCAACTAGCGGTTTGTGGTTTTCCAGAGCGATGTACTTTAACGACGTTTTGAGGTAACTGGGGGAGTTTGGACCGGCATTCTTATCAGTGTTTATAGGTTCCCAATATCATCAGTTAGAGAATAGCTTTGTTCATGGAATGACGAATATCACATTGTTTCTGATATTATTCATTGTTATAAAAGTAAAGGTATATCTATCATCTGAGTATACAAGGGCATACATTTATATTATAACACATCGTGAAGAAAGTCACGTTGACACAACTATTTATTAAACAAAAAGATGTGTATACCGATTGTCACATG